CATTGTCGTAAACACTATTACTATTGTTGTTTCCCTTTCCATTGCTCTTGGAATTAACTTTGTTGTTGATGCTGTTGGAATTACTATTGAGATTGTTTTCATTGTTGTAGCCATTGAAATTGATGTTGTTATCTTTTCTTTCAATGTTATTTTTGTTGAGTTCTACATTGTAGAAATTGCTTTTATTTGTATGACTATTTCTTTTATTGTCCCAAACATCATTATTTTTTAGGTTGTTATAGTCACTGACATTTCTTTTAGCACCATCATTCTTGAGGTTGGCGTTGCCTTGAAGGTTGTAGTTGTTGTCATCATGGTCATCTCTCTTAGAAATACCATCACTACCCACGTCATTATATTTGCTCCTATTTTTGACACTATCATTATTACAAATGACATTTCTAGTGTCATATACACTATTACTATTGGTTTTTCCCTTTCCATTGCTCTTTGAATTGACATTGTTGTTGATGTTGGTAGAATTACTATTGAGATGACTTTTAATCTTGTAGTCGTTGAAATTGTTGCAATTGTCATTTCTTTCTGTGTTGTTTTTGTTGAGCTCAACCTTGTAGGAATTGTTTTTATCAATATGATTATTACTTTTATTGTCACAAACACCATTATTTATTAAGTTGTTATAGTCACTAACATTTGTTTTAGCCTTATCGTTCTTGGGATTGGCGTTGCCATAAAGGTTACGATTATTGTCATCATGGTCACCTCTCTTGGAATTACAAACATTACCCTTGCCACTATAATTGATTCCTTTTTTAACATCATCATTATTGCAAATGACATTCTTATAGTCATAAACAATATTACGGTCGTTGTTTCCCGTTTCAATTCTCTTAGAATTAACATTGTTGTTGATGTTATTGTCGTTGCCTTTTCTAACACAATCAATGTTGTGAATGTAATTACCATTGTCACTATTTTCCGTGTCGTCATCATTGTTTGGAATATTATTATCATAAACCCCATTGCAGGTGTGATCAACATGACCTTTACTCTTAGAAGTTCTATTTTTGTTGGCATTGTAATTATTGTCACTAATCTTCGGATCATCATTCTTATGGATCTTCTCATAAGCAACATAACA